CGCCGGGGCCCATGTCTTTGTTGATGCCCATGGTTCCTGATACCACCGAACGCCTACAGGATAGGGCTGTACAGAGTTGGCCGCGTTCCTCACTGGTCCTACCCATCACTAGCTGAAGCTCTCAGGAGAGAGGTCCTGCACCTCATTGGCAGCGCAGTAGAGCTGACCCTGCTCACGGGGACATGGGTAAGCTGATCCTGAGGGCGTGAGAATGGGAGAGTAGGTCGCACCTGCCATGTGGGGAGGGAAAGATGCCTCCCTTGCCCTTCACCACCTGCAACAAGTGGGGACCTGACCAGCACCAGCACCCAGGAGAATGAGCCCTGCACCTTGCTAGGCAGCACAGTAGAGTAGACCCTGTAGACAGGTAAGCCGGCTCTGAGGGTGTGAGAGGCACATAGCTGTACTGCCTCCCTCATCTGAGTTGTGGTGGAGGGGCTTGAGGGGAAGATGCCTTCTCCCTTGCCCCTACTGCCTCCAGCTGGCAAAGGAGCTGACCTCCCCTTTACCAGCAGCAACTCTCTGGAAATTAGGCTCAATACCTCATCTGGGCATCATAGCGGAACTGACCCTATTGATGGGGATGGGCCTAAGCCTGCCGAAGAACATAAGCTTGAGAGATCTGGCCCCGCCCCTCATCTGCCTGAGGAGAGTCTATGTCTGAGGTAGATGAGAGAGCTGGCCCTGAGATCACAAGAACGGGAGAACTGTCCTAGTCTCTCACCAGCTGCAGCACTCAGGAAAACAGGTCCGGCACCTCACCTGGGCAACACAGTAGAGCTGGCCCTGGTGGTCCAGGTGTGGGAGAGACGATTCTCAGGGTAAGAAAGCAGGAGAACTGGCCTGCCCCGCCCCTTGCTCATTGCTGCAAAGGATGAACTAGCCGGGACAATGTTGGAGAGCTCCCTCTGGTGGTGAGGACAAGGGAGAGCTGGCAGGCTCACCAACCCTGCAACTACCCAGGCCCAGAACCAGGTTTATGAATTGGCCCAACCCAACACCCACCCCATCTACAATCTGCTGGAGCACGTGAAGGGACAGGTCCTGCAGACCCAAAGCTGCAAGATCTCCACAACACAGGACAACAACAGGATATCCAAGAAGAGTCCCAGTGAGGGTCCAACATCAATAGTGTAGCAGAAACCAGAGGCCTCGAACCAGACCAATGACTCGGTGCAATGAACAGCTGCAAGTAAAGATATATGGACAAAAGGGTTTACTGTGTGACCCACTGACTGTGTCACACTGCAGCTTCCATGATGAGGTTTTTTGTTTTTTTTGTTTTTGTTTTTGTTTTTGTTTTTTTTTCCTGAGACAGGGTTTCTCTGTGTAGCTTTGGAGCCTATCCTGGCACTCGCTCTGTAGACCAGGCTGGCCTCAAACTCACAGAGATCCGCCTGCCTCTGCCTCCTGAGTGCTGGGATCAAAGTCATGTACCACCAATGCCCGGCACAAGATTTTAATCTTGAATTTTATTTCTTCATTTTGGGACGAAGGTTGCAAGGGCAGAAGGTAGGTACGAAGGGATGGGGAAATGAATGGGATCGAGACATGATGTGAAAGACGCAAAGAATAAGTTTTTTTTTTTTTTTTAAAAAAAAAAAAAAAAGACTGTGAAGGCCTCTTTTGCCCCCAGCATAAGGGTTGTTACCAGGGGTGACCCTGTCCTGCCACCCTTGCAATTTAACTCAGGAGACCTCAAGCCCTGTATCAGATACAGGTTTGGAAAACCAGGCCTGGGGTCTGCCTGACCTTCCTGTGCTTGTCCAGACTTCAACCATAGCAACAGCAGATTCCTACCCACCGAGTGCTGAGAGCTCAGGGACAGGCCTTCACTTAGTGTCCAACCAAGGCAAATGCTTGGAGATTGGTGGCAGCACAGGTCCATCCAGCACCTTGATTCTGTCAAGAGTGACAGAGCAAGCTCTGCGTCAGAATTGTGGCTGGAGAAGCCACAGCTAAGGAGTAGATTCTTGGGACAGTAAGATGGCTTAGTGGGCATAGGTGCTTGCTACTAATTGTGTCAACCTGAGTTTGATTCCCCCAGAGCCATATAATAAAAAGAAGAAAACAAACTCTTGAAAATCATCCTCTAACCCTAATATGCACACCATGGCATAAATGCACTTAACACACACACACAAAAGAGAAAGAAAGAAAGAAAGAAAGAAAGAAAGAAAGAAAGAAAGAAAGGGAGAGAAAGAGAGAGAGCTGGGTGTTGGTGGTGCACACCTTTAATACCAGCACTCGGGAGGCAGAAGCAGGTGAATCTCTGTGAGTTTGAGGCCAGCCTGGTCTCCAGAGCGAGTGCCAGGATAGGCTCCAAAGCTACACAGAGAAACCATGTCTCGAAAAACCAAAAAGAGAGAGAGAGTGAGAGGAGAGGGGAGGAAGAGGAGGAAAGAAAGAAAGAAAGGAAAAAAGAAAGAAAGAAAGAAAGAAAGAAAGAAAGAAAGAAAGAAAGAAAGAAAGAAAGGGGAGACAGAGAGAGAGAAAGAAAGGAAGGGAGAAAAAGGAAGGAAAAATACGTATGTTCCTTAAAGTCTCGGGAGCTTTGGTGACAGTATTATTTATATCCCTTAGCAAGATTTTTGGACTGAAAAGGGGTATTCCTCAGCCGTCACTAGTTAGCAGTAACACTTAGGGCAGGATGCACACAGCACACTGTCCTCTGTGAAATGCTGCCACTGTTTACACTCCACAGCTGTACCCAAGACTTCTTCACTAAGCCCAGCCCATTCTATACCATACTGTTCTCCTCAAGACTCACCTTCCAGAAGAAAACCTACAGAGGCCGTGGGAGCCCTTGCTGGAGGGTGGCAGCAAGGAAAAGACACGTAAATAGTCCTGTGCCTTGCTGCCAACGGTCTGGCTTTGGGTAAGTGTGCTGTGGCTGCTGACCCGGTCTATCTGGCTGGACTCACATCAAGGCAATGGATGGCCAGCCTTCCTCACATACACACTGGCCCAGGCCCAGGCTTGGCTAGAATGTTTCATGCTGCCTCTCCCCAGGCTCAGACAATGACACAAATAGCATCAGTCAGGACCAGCCCCTCTGGACAAGAGACAGCTCATGTGCAAGAGTGAAGAGCAGGAGCACCTCAGCTGAAACGATCCAACACTGAGGGCTACAAGGGACAAGTCCTCCTTTCTCTTTAGATGACTTCCTCTGGCATGGGACATTCCCAAGCTGCTGATGTCACAAAACAGAAAAAGGTTAGATCCACAGTGAAGCTGTGACCATTAGTAACTTCTACATGGGACTTTATGAATTTGCCTATTTTTTCATTATCATTATATCATTATTGTTATTAGTTTGGCAGAGATCATTTGAATTTGGCTTTCCAAGTACTGTCTGGAAAAACGTCTGGCCACACACCAGGCTGCCCCAGCTCAGCTGCCTGGGACTGAAATGGGCACTGTGGATACAGGCACAGTCTCAGATTTCTTGTTGCCGGCTTCTCTGACCTTCTGAGTCACACGACCTGCCGAGACCGGTCCTCTCATCTACCCAGAGGCCGCTCAGGAAATGTTTGGCTCGCACTCTTGGACTCATGTGCCAAAACAGCCGAGATAGCGATCTGGCTCCAAACAATTCCAGCTGTAAGTAACACACTTCCGACTGCAAGAAGCCAGCTACCGGGAACATGGCCCAGTCCTGCCTGCAGCCCGCCCCCGTGTGGTGCCCCAGGTGATGCCTGGGAAACACGCCTGGAAAGTATGTCTGTTGACAGCAAACAGAATGAGCTAGGCGCAGAACAGCCTGCCACAACAGGAACTGGCCACTCACCAGATTTCTAAGTGGCATTACATTCTGAAAGAATCGCTGTAAAAATCTTTTGAACTTGGCTGGCTTAGTGGGGTATTCGACTGATGATCTGAGGCCTTCAGTGTAAACAAAGGAGAGCCTGTAGAATAGCACTGGCCACAGATGGAAGGCCAGCAATTGGAGTAAAGAAGGGTGTTAGGTTTCTCACGTTCAAGTCAGTCTCAGAGGGTAATAGGCCAAAGGGCCTCAATCCAGAATGACTTCCCACACACTCTGCTAGGGAATTTGGTGTGTGTGTGGCTTAGGATACTAGTGATAGAGGTTACATGTCAGTGTAGCCCCTAGACTACCTGGGTGTCTTGTGTCCTATAGTTGATAATTCACCCTGGAGTTACATCCCAGAGGTAGCCTACCTTTCTTCACATGTCCCCTTGGCTCGCTCCCCCACTGTACCCAAGTCTCAGCACAAATGCCACCCTTCTTAGGAAAACCTTGTTTGATTTATTACTCCATGGGGACAAAGGGCTCTGGCCCTGCTTCATTTCCCAATGTCATACCTGTCATAGCTCCCACCTTGTATTGCCTATGCCCGACATTGTAACCACCCTGGCAGGAGCAGAGATGCTCTATTTCATTTATTTGTTTATTTATTTGGGATAAGGGTCTCACGTCTCCCAAGCCTGGCCTCAAAGTCTCTCACTGAAGAAGGGCCTTAACCTCGGATCCTCCTGCCTCCACCTCCAAAGCACTAGGGTTCCAGGCCTGTGCCCGGCACCCACCCCTCTTGTAGCTTCTGCAGTGCTGTGAATTGAACCCAGGGCCTCCTGCATGTTACACGAGCGCTCTATAAGCCAAGTTATGCCTCTAGCCCCTCAAAGGTGAAGATATTCTAAAGAGACACATGTGCCCTGTTTTGTCTATCAGACTATTGGTAGAATAGTCTGATAGTCCCCTTGGAGTTCTTGTGGTCAGACTAATGGTCCCCAAGAAATTGGAGTCCTCCATGACTGTCCACTGGGAGAAAGAAAAGGATGGAGGCAGAGAGGAGCTTGTGTCCAGGAGTGAGAATTCACACTGCCCTGACGACTCACCAGGCCAGTGATAGGTGGGAACAACCTTTACCAGGACAGTTCAGTAATGTGTGCCTCTTGTCTTCTTTTTAAACCTGACTTTCCTTGTCAGGATCCCACAGTGGACTTGGGGGCTATGGGACCTCTTTGTCCCTCTTCCCAACGTGGCCATACTGAGTAATTCTTTCTTTGCTTCTCACTGTTCTTTGTCTCTCTAATTGGCCTGTTGTGGCCAAGTCTAAGTTGCTGGGCTCCCAGAGCCCAATTCTGATCCAAAAAGCTCTGGTAAGAATATTTGTCTCCTAGCGAAAATGCAAAGCACAAGAATGCATTTATTTTATTTTATTTTTTATTTTTTTTACAGCTGGGTCCCAGAGTCTTACGAAAATAGTAAGTAACTATTTACTGAATGAGTGAAGAAATCTTACAGTTAGGGGTGACTCAAATATCAAACCCTATTATTTCACTGAGTTAATTATGGACTCACCCCAAAGGTATGTGAATATACCAAGTGTGGAGCTATTGTTGTCTAGTGTAGAGGAACTACAGCTTGTTTTCTTGCACTTTCAGTTAAAATGTCCCCACGTTGGGGGACATGGCTGGCTGCGATTCCTATTTGTAGCCACAAGATGACACCATTGCTCAGAGTCTTTACTCTGGAAAACAGCTCAGCATCAGAAAATTCTCACCACCACCCGGCTCGAGCGCCTTCTCTTCTCTTCTTTCCATCTTCTCTCTTTCCCTCTTTTCTTCAATAGGCTTAAACAGCACTACAATAGCAAGTCTGCAGCTCCTGGAAGGAAGACACAAAGCAGGATACTTTGTCTCAGGCAGTACTTTGCTCAAGGCCGGATCCATAAACTTTATCTTCCCCCTGGCCCAAAGCCCAGAGCCCTGCTGTTCCAGGCCTAACTGGTAGCTTGAGGATCTTCAGGGGTCAGTCCTCCCTCCCGTAGCCCTGCCCTCCATCACGAACCATCTCCCCTGCTGCGTTTGATTCTGAGAAACCATCAACAGAGAGACAGGTCTCCCCTTGGAGTTCTGTGGCCTCTGCTCTCTCTCTATTGGCCTAACTTTGTGGCCTTGTATTGGAGGAACAATTTCCCAGGGATGGGGTAGGGATAGGGGCTGTGAAAATAAGAAGACAAAGGGAACTTGAGAGATTTTCTTAACCTGATTGGGACCTGGCCCGTGGAAAGGTGAGAGGTAACTCCAGCAGGCACTTTCTAGTCTTCAGATGACCCTGCACAAAGCAAACATCTGAGGACTTCACTTTCCTGGTCTACAGAGCTCTGAGTGCCTGGTTTTAGAGGCTTAGGTCTGATTCTAGCTGTTTGCTGGCCTCGGGGGTGGAAGCCAGTATTCAACTCTAAACTGGGATTGGGAAAGGAAAATGAACCATACGCAAAGGAATTATGGGTGCTCCCCCAACTCAGGCCCACTTCCCCTCTCCCAGTCAAACCCCAGCACAGCCACTGGAAGTGCTAATGATGGAGGGTCACTCAGGGTGATAATTAGGATAATCATTAATTTCTGAGGCTGAAGAGTGACTCATTTAGCTCTGATGTACACAGATCAAAAGAGGGTATTTATGGCTTAGACACAAGCCTTCCATTCTTTGCCCTGCCATAATAAATAATATAAAGTCGTCACTCCTCTGCCTGTCCTCTACCCCAACTGTTTCTGTACTGAACTGACCCCCCCCCCCACACACACACACACTCTTCGTTATCCAAAAAGGTCAAGGCATTCTCTGCTGCCTCTGAGATACTGGGTGTCACGTGCCATTGAGGGAGGGGTCCAATGCTCACATCCCCCAGACAAGGGCGGGAGCAGGTTTAAGGTGGCTTAGAGCTAGCTCTCCCTGGGAACTTACCATTCTTATTTTGCTTGAGTGTGTCTCTCAGTGCTTGGGCAAGCTAGAAACCTGACTGTCATTTAAGAGCTTTGTGACCTCAAGAGAACTTTTAAGCCTCCATTTCCTGGTCTATAAAATATGGATAATAATAGCATCAAGTCTGACTTATGAGAATGACAAGATAAAATATGTAAAGGGCTCAGCCCAAGCCTGTTACCAAACAACGCTAGGGAGCACTATTCATGCTTCAAGATTCTTGTGTCATTTCCAAGAACTTGAAGATACTGTACAAACTGTTCTGTGTGGCCTCTTCAGTGAAGATGTGCCCCGCCTCCCACCCCCCAGGACTCAGGACTAACAGTTACAGGAATCACATGGCTCAGATATGCTGCAACTGGGCCTCGCTCAGCTTCTCACTCCTGCACTGTGGACTCTTTGAACCAGGCCATACCCAGATGTGGGGCAGTAGCCTTCTAGTTGTTGCCGTGAAAGTATCTCTGCAGCTGTCTCCAGAGCTCCAGAGCACTGGGACTAGATGGATAGATAGACAAAAAGACAGGCAGATGGATAGTAATCCAAGGGGCCCCATAAAGTACTAGGAAGTATACAGAGCTAAAGCCCTGGGGACAGTTGGGAGTTCTCCATCAGTCCCTTGATGCACATCCATTAGATGGCTGGATGACAAGTCACTGGGGCTGTTCCTGTCTCTGTCACAGCATTATTAAGTGCTTGTCTTTTTATGGGGTCCAAGTGTGGTGTGGTGACTTTTCTGTTGCTATGATAAGGCATCATGACCAAGACTAGTTACAGAACTCACATCTTGAGACACAGCCACAAGACAGGGAGAGCTAACTGGGAATGGCAAACCTCAAAGCACAGTGACAGACATCCTCCAACAAGGCCACACACCTCTTAATCCTTTCCAAACAGTTCCATCAACTGGAGACCAAGTATTTAAATATAAGAACTATGAGGGCTGTTCTTATTTGAACCATCACAAAGTGAGGCTATTGCATGCTTGTTGCTCTGATATGTTTACTAAGTTTTGAGGCCTGGTTTTTATGATACGGTTTTAATATACTCACGTGACCATATGTTCTCAATCTACTTAGATAAGCTCATAGGTGGCACCTTTTTGTTTGTACAAATGAATTACTGGTCAGAGCCTCGGAGTTGGTTCAAGAAAGGTTTTAGCATTTTGTAAGACCCCCCCCCCCAAAGCTCAGGCCTCCAGGATCTTTTCCCAGGACCGAGGCCACCCCACTCATCATGTGGAGGCAGAAACTTGATGCAAACAGCAAGAGGCTTTAATGAAAGGTGGATGTTTGTACAAATGGGCTCTCTCAGCATGCTGGCTAGAGAACAGCACCGTCCCCAGGCACAGGTGTTTTTAAAGGCAAAAACCACAAGCTTAGGGAAGGGCCTCGACTCTCTGTCCATTGAGTATGTGACCAGAGTCATGGGTTCCTAAGAGGCCCTTTGTCTTGAGGGGAGGGCTGGGAATCAGATGGCCTCCTGACCTCACCAGTTGTAAAACCTGCAGACCTCAGGATGTGCTAACTAATCTTGCTTGAGCAAATGCTAGCTATCTCTTTGTTTCATAGGCACTCTTAACTATTGACACATTGTTTTAATTATTGACACATTGGCTGGGGGGGGAATCTGTTTCCTTCATGAGCCCCTCGGGGAGGCTGGCCATCTGGGAATTCTCGGTACCCAGTTATATTATGGCCTTGTAAGGGAGTAATTGCTGGCAGCTGGTAAATTCCAGGCATTAAGTCATAGTAGTGGCTTAGTCAGTTTCTGGGTTAGGCCGCCCTACATTCCCTTTGGAGAGTTTCCTTATCTGGGCTATATTTCTTTGCTAATTTTTAAGTCTTTCAATTTATGTCCACCAATGAGAAGCAGGCATGCCCTGCTTCCAACTTTACACTCAGAGTAGAGCTAACTGCTGTTATGTAAAATGGAGTCACTCAAGCAAGGTTCAGCCTCAAGGCTACTGCTTCATACAACTTGGATCAAGTAGGACCTACCTGCCATGAAGGAGTCATGTGGACCCTCGGGGGTCCATTTAGAGGGTGGCCTGGAAGAGGAGCCCCTGAGATCCTCCCTCCTTGGGGGGATACTCCTTAGATGTAGAGACCCTTGGCCTGAATCAAAACTTGTCCAGCCTCTAGAGGCCTGGACAGTGGCACTAAATGGGTCCTAGTTCAACCAGGCCACTCACTGTCTGTGTAAGCTTAGGAAATTGCCAGAACTCTGCCCCTAACATCCTCCTCTGAAAACAAAGGCACTAATAACATCTGCTCTGTAGGGATGTCTTTAGGATTAAATGTCTTCATAGTGGAAAAGTACTTAGCAGAGCCAGGCACAGAGCAAATAAACACAGACTCAAGATGGTGCAGCTACCAGGAGACAGACCCTTCTCAATGCACAGGTATCCAGGTCATGACCAAACATCTGGAAGTGGGCATTTCCAAGGGTCCTTGGCCATCTGCACAGGAGGGCTAGGAGGCAGGGAGGCTTAGTGTGGGGGCTTAAGGTGGGAGGCTAGGGGCTGGCAGGCTTATGTGTATTCAGATCTTTCTCAGAAGAGGTGGTTCTGAGAACCAGTGCCAGAAAGAAAACTCAGTACAGAGGCTCTGGATATACCCATCACTGACCTGAGGGGTTTCTTTTTTAAGAATATTGGAGAAGAAAAAAATGCCCCCTTCCAATTTAGATTTCTGTGGGGGCCTGTGAACAAACTGGCTTTAAACAGACAGCAGAAAAGCCAAAGCCTCGTGTGCGGAAAGACCTAAAGGTCTGTCCATACCCAAACTTAACCAGAGTCAGCTAGGAGAAGCAGAAATGGCATATTTACATAATTGTTTTAGGACTGCGTTGGTGCCAGACTGTAGGCCTCTGTGCAGGCAGAAATGTGGTGCTCTGATTTAGTCAGATAAGCAAAGTCCCAAGGATTTCTTTCCTCATCTGCCACTGGCATTTCAGTCTGAGGGAAGGAAGAAGTAAGTCTGAGGAACCCTAATGTTTCCTATCTGGCAGAGGCAGCAAAACTCCAGCCCAGAAGCCTCCCCAAACACAAAGCTGAAAGCCACGGAGCATGCCAAATGTCTCGGATTACTTATCTATTCTATGCAATAAATCACCTTCCAACATAACAGTTTAAACAGAGACCCACCATTCATCATCTCTCACAGCGCCGAGCGGCAGGAACTTGGAAGAAGTTCAGTAGGGTGGTTCTGGCTCAGGGTTCCTCATGGAGCAGTGGTCAAGATATTGAACAGGCTGGCAGCACGTGGGGGCTTCATGGGGCCAGAGGATATGCAGCCATGATGATTCCTCACACGGTTGGTGGCAGGAGGGTTCCGTTCTCCATCACATAGGCCCCCAAGGTGGCTGCATGAACTCTCTTACACTGTGGAAGCTGGCTTCTTCCACAGTGAGTACCTCAAGCAAGAAGTTAAGGCAGATGCTATCTTTGAGCCAGGCTTCACAGCACATCCCAGCACTGCTGCTATGTTTTGTTGACCATACATCATGGAAGGAAACGACACAAGAGCTTAAAGACTAAGCCAGGGCTCTCTGCTCCACCTTGAAGGCTGGCAGCCACACCCTTCACTCTTCCCGTGCCAGCCCCGCTCTGCCAGGTACGCAGAGCCCCTCGGTCTGGAAGCTGTGGGGAGAATGAGATTCAGGGCACCCTCTGCTGCCCTCACCTGCCTCATTGAACAAAACACTCACTAAAACTGGGCCAGCCACCTTCACTGGTGGGGTTGAGGCACAGGTAGGATGAGCACAGCTTGTGGGCTGTATATGTAGCTATGTTGGCATAGAGCTTTCTAGCATGCACAGAGCCCTGGGTTCGATCCCCAGCACCATGTAAACTAGGCATCGTGACTCATACCTATAATTCTAGCACTAGGGATGTAAAGGTTAGAGGATCAGAAGTTCAAGGTCATTACCAGCTACATAGCCAGTTCAAGGCCATCCTGGGCCACAGGAAACACTGTCTCAGAAAAAATAAATACATAAGAGCAGTTCTACTGCCCCTCTCCATATCAAGGCTGGGAAATGAGACTTCCACACCAGGGCCAGTCAGGAAATGTGCCAAGTAAATGGTGGTCGGGGCTTTCAAAAGAGAGGCCTGAGGGGACTGGGGCAATTCTTCTGGCTTCAAAGAGAAGACAGTACCTAAATTCTTACACCCAAGGCCCTTCCTGATCCCAATCCAGACATGACTTCTGGCAGTCTCCATGCTACTCTGGCCCTGGCTGGAATGTTCTTCTTGCAGTGGGACTATCTTCCCTGCTGTCCCCATCCCGTTGCTTCCTGAGTCCTCCAGACTTGCCCTGCACACTTCAGCAATGTCATCGAGCCTCTCTCAAGGTGCTCTCACCCTCTGCAAACTCCTGTTACTCCTCATCCCGCCTGCCTTGCTCTCCAGGAGACACCATCAAGGGCGGGTGACTGCAGGGCCCAGCACAGTGCCTGACATGGGCTCAGCACTGAGAGCAGCATTTCTGCAGAAGGGGATGGAAGGGGACGGAAGGGAGGATTAATGAGATGGCGGATGACGTGTCACCTGTCTTTCTCCATTTCCTTCCCTTCTGCATTAGAGAGCTATCAGCTTGAACATCACGAGCATCGATAGAGTTTGAGAAATGCTGTTTGAGAAATGGTGTTGGCACCAAGGCAAGCACCAAAGTGGGTGAAGAAGTATTTGTCCCCAGGTCTCTTGACCCTGCTAGAGGAGGTTCGAGTTAATTACAGGTCAAACCATTATGAAGTGACAATCTGTGGGAAACTCTCATCACTATCAGTTTCTCTGATAGTTTTTCTTCCTTGGGCAAGGCCTCAAGGAAGCCTAGTGTCTGTGATTAAAGCAAGTCAAGGCTGTGTATAGAGAGACCCAGAAAGAGACCAGAGATTCAGACAGAACCACAGACAAGGTTAAAGGCTGCAGAATGGAACCACAGGTTGTCCCCGGAGCTGCCCAAGGCCACCTCCCGCAACCCAATCCCCCTTTATCTGCCTCTGTCTCCTCTGATCAGGCCTTGGCTGTGGCTTTCTCCTCTTGCCACACACATTAGATATTAACTCGGCCTTTGTTTTGGTTTAGCGTTCTGTTTGTGCTCACAGTAAATTAACCTCTGTGCTGGGGTCAAGGGGTATGGACCTTGTTTGTATAGGCAGGGCTCACTTGTTATCCCTTTATGCCTGATCTTGTATTTCCCTTTTTCCCACAGAAGTCATCTGTATGATTTTTGTGTCCTACCAACCTGTTCATTATTGACATCCGAGCTTAACATGGGTGTTACGGGGGCACATTTACACAAGTACACACATGGCCTTTCAGTGGACACCTCTCGCTGCCTCTCCTCCATACCGGTGTGCTCTGCAACTGCCCCAGCATCATGGAAGCAGAAGTCTGCCAGAGTCTCCATCATTTGCAATAACAATTTATCCATTGATTCCCCTACTAATACATTTCTAGATGTCCCAACTCGTCCACATTACAACAGCTCTGCAATGGGCATGGGGCTCCCAGTCTCACTGAGCTTGGGCGATGGTAGGAGTGCACCTGAGATGTGCCTACACCATTATTTTCGAGAGTCTCTCCTCTTCATCTGTGCCAGTGTCTGTGACCAGCTTGTGAGCACTGGCCAGTGTGGCAGGAGTGCAGCCCCACCCACACCTTACTCAGTGCTCCTAGGTCCCCTCCCTTTTCCCTTCTGCTTTCTTCCTGGTTTGCAGTGTCTGTGTGTCTGTCTTGGTTGTAGGCTTTTAATCAGGTTTGCTGTGCCAGATGTGAATTCTCTACCATGAAGCAGGCCCCAAATCCAATCAGAAAATGGTTCATTACCCCATAACAGACACACACACACTCCCCACCCCCCCCCACCCCGCTATTGTACTAATGGGCTCATTTGCCCATCTGCTTGACATTTTTGCACACAAGGTCAACCACTTGTGGGCTGATGAGGTCACAGACTCTAGAGGGGAAGCAACTGCTGCTGATTTGTCAAATGGATATGATGTGCCTATCAGACTGCCTTTTAAATAGCTGTGTTTACGCCCCTGTGTTCATGGTGCCATCAGGTTTGGTCAGTGAAGTCCCTTTTTGCAGTGACTAGAGATGGCTGCAGAGACCCATAACTGGTCAAATACCAAGACCAACCATAAATGGAATAGCAATCTCACCTCCTAGAAGGCTTAGGGGACACTGTGGAAGAAGGCACAGAGCCAGAGTGAGTCAGGGAGTAGCATGGAATTTGATTTCCAGATTGACATGGATATTGTATGGAAGTTTCTGCCCCACCCAGTCCTGCAGCCTTTCAGTCCCAAATAAACACACAGAGGCTTATACTAATTATAAACTGTTTGAACAATGGCTCAGGCTTGTTACTAACAAACCCTTACAACTTAAATTAACCCATAATTCTTATCTATGTTTAACCACGTGACTTGGTACCTTTTCTCAGTAAGGCATTCTCATCTTGCTTCCTCTGCTTCTGGCTGCCAACTGCCTCTATGCCTTTCCTCTTTCCAGAATTTTCTTAGTCTGGTAGCCCCACCTATACTCCCTGCCTGGCATATAAGCATTTTATTAAACCAATATGAGTGACAAATCTTCACAGTGAACAAGAACATGATCCTACATCATTTAAACTAATGGCAGTTATGGTTACCCGAATAAGATCAGGCTGGTCAACACTCTGCCACAGAAGGGAAAGAGGCTATGGGGCTCCACCCCTCACTGAAGATTCATGTGCAGTTAGTTACTGATAGGGGAGAGTCTTTATTTAGTGTAGTAGCCACTGGTAAGGGGTCTGTGCTCCTGTAAACAAACTCTCTCTCTCTGTCTCTCTCTGTGTCTCTCTGTGTGTCTGTGTCTATCTCTCTCTCTCTCTCTCTCTCTCTCTCTCTCTCTCTCTCACACACACACACACACACACACACACACACACACACGACAGTCAGTGTGTCCTGTTCTCACTGCCTCCTAGTTATGAAGGGACCAGCTCTTTCTAGCTTTTGAGTTTCAAAATCCTGAACTGGAAGCAAAAAGGATGGGGAATACAGGAAAAGGGTCTAGAAGAAAAGGATCATAAACAAGAGATGGAATGAATTGCAGTGAGCGCCCCTTGCATAGCCCCACTTAAATAACTGCGGCTAGCTGAGTAAGGAGGACGAGAGCGCAAAGAGGGAAAATCTGTCAGGAGGGCTGAGGCTGGTGCACATGCTCTGTGGCCAGGGTCAAGGGTGAGTCAGGCCTTCCCAGAACACCTCTCAGTTCTAGCTGGTTATTGCAATGTGGAGAACTGGAGCCCCACCCCCTTCTCTGATCCCGATTTGTTTGTTTAATTGCATTTATTTATTTGGGGAGGGTATGCTGTGGCTCATGTGTGGAGGCCAGAGGTCAACTGTAGGAATCAGTTCTCTCCTCCCATGTGTGTCCAAGATCAAACTTACATGTAAGGCTTGCACCATGGAGCCTTCGGTGCCCTCCATCACTCAGCCCAGGACTTGTGTGTTTAACAGGACACATCACAGCGTGCTCAGCACCACAACACAATAATAAACGTTCCTGATATTCTGTGATTGTCCTTTAAAAAACAAAAAAAAAAAGATGCCTGAGTCAAGCTCCTAGTTAATTTGCTGACAGATTTTGTTTTTCATTCTAAACTGGGGGTGTATTTTTTAACAGAACAATCATTACTATATTTGCTTGTTATTTTGTTAATCATTTCCTGGTTTTATATTTCAGTTTAACTTTCATGTTTTTTTTTCATCTTTTTTCCATTGTCTCTTTTGCTTACTCATATCTTGTAATACGTTTTCAGCAGTTACAGGCAATTAACCTAAAACAAACAACGGCTTTTTTCTCTATATTTAGTCCTGGATAATAACAATCATGGAGTCATGACGTCAGTCCTCTTCTAGGAGGGAAAGGGTGTCACTCCTACCGTCTACCCATAAAGGCTAAGAATATTCAAATGGGTCGTACAATGAAAAAGACATGTAATGAGTGTTAGGAACCAAGGACTCAGACTCCTCCTTCTTGTGTGCAGTTCTTCGTCTCATTTCATAGGATGGCTGCTGTGTTCTTGGGCATGGGTTTTGCATTCTAAACACAAGAGAAATATTGAAAGAAGCCACATGCCAGCTGAATTAGTTGAGAAACAGCGGCATTTCAGGAAACCCCACCCAATATCCTCCCTTTCAGGTCTCGTTAGGCCTCAGCTATGTCACATGGCCACTCGTGGCTGCAAGAGAGGTTTGTTTGCTTGTTTATTTTTAGCCTGAGTGCATTGCCATCCTGCACAAAGTAAGAATTGTTACAATGAGAAAATGTCCAGACTATATACGGTGATGATGTATCATGGAGCAGCCCCTGCCCCATACAGGCTAATAAGCTGGTGCTGCCTGCTAAATGTCGTGTGCCTCCCACCTTCACTTCAGTGTAATGGTGTTTGGAGATGGGCTTTTTTTAGGTGACTGGGTTTACCTGGGGACGTGTGGGTAGGACTCTCTCGATGGATTTGGTGCCATTATTAAGAGAAAAAGAAAGAGAAAGAGATCTCTTTATGAGCATGCCACATAAACAAGGATAGCAAGAAAGTTGCTGTTGATGAGCCAGGCAGTGGGGACACCCCCCAACATAACCCCCCCCCCAAGTCAGCACCTTGTTCTTGGTCTTCCCAGACAGTGACAGCCAGGGAGAAATAAATGTCTATTGTTCAAGCAACCCAGCCTTCGCCATTTTGTTAGAGCAGACCAAACTAAGTCAACCAGAAACAGCAACACACACACATACGCATATACAAGCACACACACACACACAAAGAGGAAAAGGCAGTGAAGTCAAGTTGTGCAGGATAATATGGAAGCAGAAAATGAGCCCAGACAGTACCATGGCTGCCTCACTATATGACATGGGGAACATTTACTTGACACAAAACTTCCATCTCCTGAGGATGTTTCCAAAGCAAGGGCCATGCTTACCTTGCAGGTGGAGTTACATGTCCCGGTCCACTATAGTTGTTACTCAAGTCTACTCAGGCCAGCATGGAGCTCAGGAGGGACACCTGCTCTGCTTAGCGTCAACTCAGACTGAGCCTTCTACATGACTGCCCTCTAAGTCTGTGAATGTCTTTGAAGGCCCACATTGTGACTGGCATTAGGAACAACCCAGCAGATGACATGTGGGCTCTACGAGGGGAACATGATGGCACTGCTGTCTACTGTCTCTCTTTTGCTCTGTAACAGCTGTAATTTGATTCTGTGATGGCAATATACCCAGCAAAAAGCAACTCCCAGATTTCCTTGCAACTGAGGCTGCTCATGTGGCCTACAGTGGATGTCTAGAAGATGTCTACAAGGAGATTATTCATGTGGCTTCCCCCTGTCCTTTCCTGTCCTAGGAGGGTAGACATGGCAGCTGAACTCTGCCAGTCACTCTTGAGACAAGCAGTGATGAAAGTTAGAAGCAGCCTGGAGGTCAGGCCCTGGCAGCCATGACAGTCCTTGGCAGCCTTCCTCAGAAACCTGAGAGAATAAACGGGAAATATGGGACAACGTTTGCCCAGGACTTCTGCTGTATGCAAGCGATTTAAATCCTACTGAATTCAGGGATCTTTGATGATATTTGCACTCTCTGTATGGTCTTACCTCTCTGCCTGTTTATGCAAGCACAAGGACCTGAATGGGGTCCCCAGTATCCACATAAAAAAAACAACGTCACCTACAGGCATGTACTATTGTATTCCCCTTGTTCGAGGGGCGAAGACACATGCATCCCTGGGGCTTGCTGACCGTCCAGCCTATCATCCAGCAGTGGCGCTCTCCAGGTCCCCGTGAAAGACATTGTTCTCAAAACACAAGGAGGGCAGCTTCTGAGGAAGGACACCCATGTGCACACACACAAACATATGAACATACAGACATGTAAGGGCTGCTATCAGAAGTTCTTCGGGACTCCTGGGGGTCCCATCCCAGCACAATTCCAGGGAGGAACACATTGTTTCCCTCGCTGCACTACAACTTCTGTGATGGGCTCTTGGCCTTCAAGAGGTCCTACAGTCCAGTCTGGCCACTAAGGGAATACTTCCTTTCTCTGGAAACTTTTAGCTAAATAACTTTCCAAATTTCTCTCTCCCCAAATTTGTTAACTTCAGACTTCTCTATTATAAAAAGCTTGTTCTTTTCATTCCTATGCTCAAATGTTACTGATGGCACACTTTTGTATTTTACTTTCTGATTTTCAGTGTGGGAATCCCCTTATGAATTCTAATTTTATTGAATCATGGATTTACTTTAAAAATACTTGCCATTTGGTTTTCTTTATTGAGGCCACTTAGCCTGTTTTTTTTGTCTTTCAGAACCACGATTTTCACCCTGTCTTCTGCTTTGGGTTTTTGGCTCACCATTTTCCCAGTATCTTAAGTCGAATGTCTGCTAAAAAAATTTTTTTTATCAACTACCAAAAATAGAAACAATTCAAATTGTAAGAGTTCCTTAAAGCACAGCTTTGAGGACATTCCAGAGGCCAGTGCAGAATGTACTGACCATCGCTTTTCTGAGTAAATGTGTGTGTTCTTGACTTCCTCCCCAGGCCAATTGTTGATTCAGTGAGGAAGTCTAAATTTCCAAGTAGTTGGTTTATTTTTGTTTTGGTTGTGACTTTATTTCACATCCTATGTTGGCCAGAGAATGTAGTACACTTTGTTCTCATTTAGAACTCTGTGACCTAGCAAATGACACATGAGACCATAGGGGTCACTGCCATGCACAAATGAAACCCTCACATAGTTGTAATTCTGTCTCTAAAGTACTCTCTGAGATGGATACAAGCTTAGAGGCCAAAGAAAGAGCTGAGAAGGATCCATGAGGGTAGCCTGTTGGGGAGCACTAAGTTGGGGGTGTGGACCCTCACTTCGTGTTGCTGAAATAGAGACAATAGTTAATCTCCGCTGTGATTGGCCAAGAGGGGAACAATCTGGGCAAAGTTCTGAAGAAGGAGTGAACCGGAACCAGAAAGCTCTGGAGCTGACCTCACTAGTGAAGTCAAAGGTCAAATGTATTTGTTGCTTCATTTTAGAGGGTGGCCAGAGAGGAGCCAAGGAACAGATTGTTGCGTCTTTGTTTAAATCTCTATTATTCTGTGAATTGTTTCTGAGCTTTGGAAGGCATGGCCTGTGGAACGGTTCATTCCAAGGTGTAAAATATGTGTTGGCCCTGTGGCTTAATAACAGGAATACACAAATAAAAACTATTCTAAGCCACATGTTCTCCATGGGGAGATAACTCTCCCAAGGTGTCAAACCTGGCCTTTGAGGGGGCTAAAACACCCAGGAGATGGACACCTGCCTGTACAATATGTGAGTCCCTGGAGGGAAGACAAGTACTGGGGTGCCACACAGACAAAAGAATGTCATTACAAAGCATGCCACTGGTCTTCAGTGGAACACACTGTCAACATCCTCTAGAAATCTTAGCAGTGCAAATTCTTGACCCCACCCAGAACTACCAAGCCAGAAAACACAGCTGCAGGACCCAGTGGACTTTCAACAAGCAGTGTGGGGCTCCTTATCTTTTCATTTCCCCTTTACAGCTCAAAACAATGCTACAATATTTAAAATGTACAATTTGGTTACTTTTGACATGAGTATAATATACACCTGTGAAACCACCACCACAGTCAAGGCAATGCATATATTCATCACTCCTCATTTCCTTTTGTCCCTTTAAGTATCCCTCTCTCCTCCCCCACACTCCCAGTGTCACTAGTCAACAATCATCTATCACTATAGAGAAGTTTACAGTTTTTATAATTTTAATTCTTCTGGCCAAACAGTGCTCTGTGACACATATATAAATATTTGTTTTTAGCCATTTCTGTATCACTGGATTATTTCCCACTTGAGGATATCAGAAATAAAGAAGCAGCAGACATTTGTGTACAAGTCTTTGTTTATATGCTTCCATTTCTTTTTACTGAGTCAGATGGAGGGTGCATGTTTATCTTTGGAAGAAACTGCAAAATGGGTTCCTTTCTGTTTTTTAAATTATTCCCTTTCTACTTCTATTTGGGGGAGGGTGCTGGAATATGGCTCTGTGGTTAAGAGCACTTGCTTCTCGGGCAGAGGTTTCAAGTTCCGTTCCCAGGCTGCATCTACATGGAAGCTCATAACTGCCTATAACTCCAGTTCCAGGGGAGCCAATGCCTCTTCTGACTTCAGTGGGCTCCTGTACATACTTGGTGCAAAAACACACTCATGCACACACACTTACATGTAAACTAAAATTAATATCTTTTTGAGCATTTATTTATTTTTATTTTTATGTGTATGAGTGTTTGTCTGCAAGCATGTATATGGGTCATGTGTGTGCAGTGCCCAAGGAAGCCAGAACTATATTCCCTAGAACTGGAGTTACAAATAGTTGTGAGTCCACCATGTATATACTAAGAACTGAACCTGGGTCCTCTGCAAGAGCAGCAGGTGCTCTTAACCCCTGGGTCATCTTGTCAGTCCTGAGCCAAATTTTTTTCCAAGCCACTCTTCTGTTTTGCAGTCTCACTAATTCCTATCCACATCTCTGTCAA